AAGAAAAAAAACGTGTAACCCCTATGGAATTTTATTTTATATATATATATATATATATATATATATATATAATAAAGATGATATTTTGCATTTCATGACAAAATAATCATAATATATTTTCATTTGTAAAAATTGAACTTTTGTGTATAAGTAGAAAATTTTATTGTTTTTCGGGCTGTTTTAGTTCGTATTTCTATATTGCACAGAACGGAAAATATGTAGTTTTTTCTGAAAGTCTGCAACTTTAAAGACTTAGAGCAATTTAAATTCCAGCTGCAGCATGCTCTCAACAATTTAAAAGTCCATACTTTAAGGTTAATGCAATTGATATTTAATGTTATTAAAATATTTTTTTTAATGATGAGCTGGTTCCAAGCTTCTTCCACAATCCTCCAGACTTTTAAACTGACCTGACCAAACTGTATAATATGAACATTCTGATAAACTGGACCAAAGCCATGGACTTCCAAGGAAATAATATAAAAATGGAAAAGACATTAACTAAAGGGGAAATAAATGAGGTAAAGATCTGATGTATCTACAGAACTTAATTACTAATAGAAGAATAATCTTTAATAGATTATAATGAAACAGATTATCAAGAAGCAATTTTGGAAAACTAGGAAAGGAGGATACATTGCTGGAATGCCATAGTGCTGTTAGTAAACCAATACTATTTCAAAGCAGCATATGCTGGACTCTGGTTAAAGGAGATCAATCTATTAAGGCAGCAGAAATGAGATTCCTGAGATCATTAGTTGGAGTAACAAGAGTAAACAGTGTGCAAAATAAAAACAACCAACAGAAACATAGGAAGATAAGTTTAACTTTATTCATTCTGGTCCGTCACATTAGCTAGGCACTGTAGAATGATTTGACACCATCCAATGTGACTGAAATTTGAGTCACAATGGATGGTGTCACATCTTTCTATAGGAAAGATAGTTTAATCCAAAAAATTAGGAAGTGCAATGGATGCCAGAAGACTGTCTACCCAACAAAGGAATGGAATACGGACCCTGAGAGCCTGTGAACAAAAAACTTGGCAAGGCCTAGAAAAGAACAGAAGAAACAATAGTGTGCTCTGCTTCTGATATAGACAAAGAATAAATTTCTAAGACAACTTTTTGAGTAAATCTTCAGTATCAATTAAATCCCCGTAACAGGCCATGGAGGCCCACAGGGTTTTAGAACATTGAGGCTCCCACATTTTCTAGACAATCGGCTCACAGATGGCAGTGAGGTTGTCAGCCTTATGTGCCAGCCACCATTTAGCCCCAGTAAGATTCCTAGTACTCATTTCTTTTAGAGGCTGAGTTGACCCCAGGGTTATAGTGAAGCTGGAAAGATTGAGACAACTGAAAAATCCAATGATGTCAGGAATCGATCCCGTGACCTTACAGCTTGTAGCATAGTGTTTCAACCCACTATGCTACCTCATCCTCCCAAACAGAATTAGAATCAGAAGTTCTTCTACATAAATTACAAGTTTCAATGCCATATCAACAGGTGAACAATGCAAGAGAGTGAGTGTTATAGAAGTTCTGTTGGCAGTTCTGCATGCATAAAACATTTCTCTTCGAGTAATATACAGATACCTTCAGAAGGGTTTCTGTTGTGTCTAGATTTTCTCCCCACACGTAGAATGCAGGCACCTCGGCCTGTAAGCTGTGCAAATTCTTCTGGATTTTTTCAATTGCAACTTCAATACTTTCTATTGTGTCCAAATCCTCATTAGTTTTACTTAATTTACTCCTCAGTAAATCAAGAAGTCTGAAATTAAAAAAAGAAACTGGTATTAATGCATATATACATTAATATTTACAGCATATTGGATTACAATGCAATCTCAAACCTCCTTGACTATTGAAATAAATAAAATAAATATATTTTTAAACAAAATATATTACTTAAGGCCTGTACTAAAAAGCTACAAGAGGTAGGTCTAACTCAATTATAACAGGCTCACTTACACAGGAATATAAACTATAACACAAAATTCAAAATCTGCCAGCATTATACTGTATGTGAAGTCCATCTGAAAGGAAGCAAATCTTTTTAAAGAAAACTCTACTCAAACGATTTTAAATGCTTCCAGAGCCTGAAAAACCAACAAAGCATTTAATCAGTAANATATATATATATTCTTATGCAAGAATAATGTTCATCACAATGCGTACAGTATTATTTTTATTATTATTATTATTGTTATTATTGGAGGGGGTGGGTTTTCCCATGCACCGCAACTAATAGTCTATTGTACATCCCCCTTTGATATTCTACCAGTCGCCATACCCTGCCGGTACTGGTATATGCTATCAGCCCCATTCAGCCAACGAGGTCGGCCCTCGGTACCTCGATACTTCCCTCATCTACCAGAGGCACTGGAAACTACTTGGGCAGGAAACTTGCCTAATTTTGCTCAGAGGTCTCCTAGAGAAATTACGATCTTTTACATGCCGTAAATCTATGACACGGAACCCACTGCTTAAAGTCCCTCCCGGAGGTATTGTTCCCTGAATTTTTCTGCCCTTAAAAATTCCACGACCTCCACCGGGTTTGAACCCGCGTACCTTGAGTCATGAGGTGGGAACGTTACCCCTAGACTACGGAGGCCGCTTATGGGTACAGCAGCTCAACAATGAACTGTATCCTGGGCCCCTAAATCCAGTTCAAAGATCCTCAAATACCATTCTGTCTAATATACACTTTAATAACATCCCCAATCTCTTCCTAGGTTTTTCAGCTTACTACAATAGACATATAAGTCACCATATAAGATAGCTGATTATGTGCAAATTATGTTTTCCAACTGCACATGAATACTGATTACTTTATTTATTTATTTCGTCTCTATAGATCATTGTTACATGATATAGGACAAGTCAGTTACCGTACATTGGCAGATTACAATACGAGAGTAAAGTTAGAATACTTAACAATTGTTTACAATAGATTACAGTAGATTACAATAGTTAAGAGTTCGTATAGTGTGAGGTGGAATCCATATTAGGTCCCCTCGACACGTCGGCCTCGATATATCCTATTGTACCTGTACTGGTGATTATGCTTGTGGAGAATTTGATTTCAGTATTACTGAATGAATATTATCAATAAGAAAAACAGTTAGGGGGAACTACAATGAGCTTAGTTGGCTGTGTGATGCATTTGCCTTCTTAACCTTACAGCATCAGTCACGTGCCAGCATTCCTTTATTTACATGTCATGATGTTCAGCAATTGTTCATGAACGTTTATGAATACAGTACAATACAGGCAAATCTATTTTTAAAAATGTAATTACCACACTTCTCAAAGAAGAGTCAAATGCCACTTTGCAACACATCCATGCTGTGCACTATTTAAACACCTGACTAACAATCAAGTATAAATGTTTTCATACAGCTTACAGATTTAAATATTATGATAATCAGTTCTCTAAACGAAACTAAATACTTATAGTTTGGGCACCATTTCTGAATCTATATATCTTTGAACTACAGTTTTTTATATGCCTGAAAAAATGTTGGCATAAGCTCTAATTTTACATGAATTATCACGTGATGTGACATCAAGTCATGTGGATCAAGATGACTGAAGTCGCAAGTCTATGTAAATTTACTACATCTCAATTAATCTGAGTAGCTATCGAAACATCTCGAAGTAATGGTAATGAATTATGAACAGCCAGCCCCATAATGCACTTCATTTAGGGTAAATGTAGTAAATTCAATTCAGCACAAATGACCCGATGTGGCTTTGAAAAAAAACAACATGCAGAGATGTGAGGTTCTTATGGGGGTGAGTATTAAGGTTATATGGTGTTCTGTGATGTGACACTTTAATTTTGTAGATAAGTACCGTGTTTCAGGACACACTACCTCCACATGTAGGGTAGAAGTCGAAGGCAGCAGGTTCCTCTGAAACACTGGTACTTATGTACAAAATTGCATGGCATCACATCCCGGAAGAATGTTAGTTTCTACCTGTCAAACTACATAGCATCAACACCCCAGAAGACGTGATCTAAAAGTTCAAGTGTACATTTTACACTACGATCCTTTCAACAGTCACAGATATCTTTTAAAGTGTGTTCAAAACAAATCAAGAACACAATATTAAATATGGAATATTCTATTAATCCCAGTAAAACAAGTGGGTAAACTTTTCAGAATGTTCGACATACTAGGAAAGTGAAGCACTTTCTGTGGGTCTCAGAAGAGAAAATTTCCATCTCATATTTTAACAATTTGGTAATTAAGTGGATTAAATAT